AACTTGGAAACTTTGAATATTTCAAAAATGTAAAGTTGAAAGATCAATTTGGGAGCCGCCTTTGTGAAATTTCAACGCGGTAGTTGTTTACTACTTACCTCCTCCATAAACTACACCACTGCATAAGCGGAAATTTAGCATAAACAAAACATCAATCATTTTTTCCCCTATTCAGAAGTGGATACGGCCACTTAAAGTCAATCTACTCGTCGAGCTACTACGGAACGGACCCCGTAACCAAGATAATCACGTTTCATGGGGCTGCTCTGTATCGACCACGAAATCGTCGTCGGGGAAAGGAAAAACGACTAGTGATGTTGGCATATTGGGAAAACGAATTGGGAAGGAGAAAAATTTTGGGGACTCGATTTCCCACTTAAAAAGCTACCTCAGAACTTGGAGTAATTTCCATTGGAATGATATACTTTAGTCATTCGGGCGTTATAGCCGAGATGCCCTTCACCTAGTAATCCATCCACCCCCGTCTGCTGCTAGCAAAACAACATCGAGTAGCAACAGCGTAGACAGACTTGGAAAAAAGCCATGGCTAGATTAATCTCGCATTTGATTTAGCCAGAGCAGCTGTAAGGCAGTGATCAGGTGCAGTATAAACTTTTTTCGTATTACTAAGAAAAAGACAGCAGTAGTTAGAAAAAAAACGAGGCTGACGAAAAATGCCATGGAGAATTGTACTTCCACAGAAAACTCGGACAAGAACTCAAAGGAGCTGTTGTGGAAAAAATTTGAGCGAGATCAATTCAAAACTTGGTAAAAAAGCAGTAACTGTACTACTTTTCAGCTCCATTGATAAACAGACAGCAGTTACTTGAACGGTAGTAATGAAGCAATTGGGAAAATGGTCCAAAGAGAAAAAGGAAAGGGGTATTGGCCCCATGGCAATCTGTGATGAAAGAACTCTTCGAACTGGCTCAAGGAGTAGCATGGTGCAAAATGGCGCGCATTCCGCGGGGGTCAAATTCCGGATCGATACCTACCTTGGATCAACTAAAACTTTTATCCGACNTTGTGATAGCCCAACGCTATGCGCCCTTGGGCGATGACGAATTTGCACGTGGTACCTTACGAGAGATCGTCTTCAACTTCAACTTCTACTTTTACTATTTACTAGATTCAGTGGAGCAATCTTTGTTTACATGATCTACCACTTGAGTAACAACTTGGATTCATTTGCACTTCATAGCGAGTTATGGTTAATGTAAGAAACTCTGAAACATCTAAAAACTTGCTCAACCGGCTTTTGAAGATTATATCAACTAGTACGGTCAGCTTAACAAGTACTGCCCCTACGAAGTACCATATTGCTTCTTCTCGCGTGAGTTGTAGATCATCTTGTTCATCCTAATGCTCTGTAGTTCACAGCTTTGCAGTTTACAAAGAGAAGGCTTATGAAGAGAAGGGTTGGCAAACTGCCAATGTTCATACAGTTGGTCTCCGCCCATGTATGGATGTGCTTTTAAGTGCTGACTGACCTGGTAGGGAATAGTGAGGCACTTTGAGAAGACTAATCGCCCTTGACTCGTTTATCATCTTTTTTTCCTGAACTACAGCTATAATGAGGAGTACAATTCTGAGCTGACCCTTGGTGTGAAGCTGTAATAATGCTGATGGGCTGTGAAGTTTTTCATGTAATTTCGCTAGACGTGTCATTAAAATAGTAGCGATTTTGTTGGGATTTCCCGAGGAGCAGCTGGTTGGTTGATAGCGATTTCAATGACCGTTTTTCGGGTTCGATGGGAACGCCGGCCGAGTGTGTGTGTGTGCAGCAAGGGGATGATGACGAGGCGAGCCGCCCCGAGTAGTACAACTCTCGATCGCCGCTTTGACGATGCCGACCATCCGTCGACGACGACGACGACGACGACGACGTTGTCGTAGACGGCGACGACATCACCGCCGCCGACGTCCCCGTCTAGTTTCCTCCTCCAGCTATGTTTTGGCCATCTGGCATGTGGGCGGCGGCCTGCAGACTGCTGCGGACTTTGCCAATTGTTCCCTCTCACTTCCCTCACTCTCATCCGCTCTCTATTGCGCCTCTTCAACATCACCGCTTTCCTTCAATCCTGCCGACATCTTTAATCGAAGAACATCTTATCAGTGGCTTCATTGAATAATAGAAATATTTCCGAACGACGTTTTTTCTCTCTTTTCCCGTCGGTCGTTCAGAAAGAACAACATGCATGTCTTCTCTCTCTCTCTTGAAAAGTGCTCCTATCAATTTTCCATTTCGTTTTGGGCATTTTTGGCCCATCGTTTTTACATTTGAAATATCCTCCCCGTTCTATTTGATGTGTCATTTCAGTTGCTATTCAGTGTTCCCTCGTTTGCCACGGCAATCCATGCCCAAACTCATTTCCGACAGCTTTTCAGAGGATTACATAGCGCTTCCGAGCGCTCTCTTCTTCTTCACTTATTGGTTCCCTCTTAAAACATCGTTCCCAGAATTTTTCGAGCATTTCCAATGTGCAGTACATTACCCCCGTCCGTTCATTCCCACGGACATAAAGATCATGCTGAAATAACACGAGCAACTTTTTCGTCCACTGAAAAGAAACCATTCACTGTTCTGCCAGCTTTAACAGCTGTGTTAAAATTGTTGTAGTAATATGAACTTTCAGTAATGTTGAAAAAAACAGAGGTTTTCCTAGTTTCAGAGCGGAAATGTCGGGTATTCCGCTCGGTGTGGGAGGTCCGCCTCCTCCCGGTATGGATACAAAACGTGGACGACTCGTTTGTATCAAAGTCCGGATGTTGGACGATAGTGTTGCTGTGTTTCATCTTGGAGTATGTTTTTTTTTCATTTTTCATGGCTTTTCTCGAAAATTCCGTTCTTTTCGATTTGTTGATGACGTTGCCCTTTGAGCAATCCATATTCGTACCAGTTTATTTTGCCATTTTCCTTTGCTTGTACAGCTCGGTTTTTGTTCGTTTTGCCGCTCTCACCATGAAAATAATGGTTTTGAGCGGCGATCAATGGGGACGACCGACAGCAAAAGCTGTTTATACGTTACTGATCACCCAGTCAGTCATCATATCCTCGTGGATATCATTTTACTAAAGGGGTCGACCCATTGAGACAAACGGCCCACCAAGACAGGCTCGGGTGTTACAAAGGGAATTGTTGTGAAAGAGTACTTGGGAGCCTTCCTTATCAAAAGTTTCAAGAACTTTCTGTGGCTTCTCATTGCTGCAGTCGTTTACTACTTTGTTACTCTTACTCTGTAGTAATAAAGTAAGCTTTTGCATAGTCAGAAAGGACTTCACTACAAGATTTACTTCACATATTAAAAGCCTATGGAGATCTGTTTTGATCCACTGATTGGATTGGATCCTCGCCAAATCATATCTGGACTCAAAGCGGTTCAAAGTCCACAGCTACCGTAGATGGGGACAGGTCCATAGCCTATTCGGAAGTGGTTGATTCCATTTGAATATTATTTATTAGGGGACTAACTTACCAGATTTTCGGGCTCGATATCAGAAATGTCAGCAGCAGACTAAGAAAGGCCTTTAGCTCAAGAATTCAGGTTTTTTTTTGAAAATTTTTTTAAATTGTCAAAATAGGTGCGTACCCAAATATTGTTTCAAATGTTTCTGGAGTGTTTCTAGACGTAGAAAACCTATTTGCACTTTCAAGTCATTCTCTCACTTTACAGCACAAAGCACTTGGTCAAACGCTACTGGATGAGGTGGCCAGGCATTTAAATCTACTTGAAAATGATTACTTCGGTTTGGAATGTATTGACAATTCGGGATGCCATGTAAGTGAAGTTTTCTTGCCACGTTCTTCACACAACCCTTTTCCTCCTCGTTCAGTTGATTCGATTTCGTCCATAACTGGGGGGGAGCACTACACACTCAGTTTTTCTCACTCGCTCCTTGTCCCGTTCTCTCGTTTATCCTTCTAGACGAATTCGGTCGCCAGAGCCAATTTCTTCTTCTTTCGGGAATGTTGTTTATGTGAACAGTGCTTATGTGCTTGTGTGAAGACGTAAGTCGTTGACGGACGGCAATTCACAGGATTGCTATAGCGTTTCTATTTATTTTCATGAGCGATTTTCCCCCCGTGTTAGCAAAGAGCCACTATTCCGGCTCTTCCCCCCATAGTTCGAGATTCTTGAAAATAACACCGGTAAACAAGTTAAAGCACTCATTTTTTGGGTCTGGCTAGCGACCTCTAAAACTTGCTTTTTAGCCAAGGTTTTTTTGCTAGAAAAAAAACTGGTCAAAGTAAGTGATTATGCTAATTTCTGAGCCTCATAATTTATTATA